CTCCAAGTAAGTAGAGGATGAGTAAAATGAAATGCAAAATGTAAGGTGCTTTATTAACTATGTATGAGTAATAATAACAAAAGTATAATTATGTATGCAATAACACATTTTTTGAAAAGTTTGTTTTTCTGGCTACTACCACACAGCAATTCCAATGTTACTCAAGGAAAATACACTAAAAAGCAAGTTCAACAAAATACCAATTTTTAAAAAAACCTGTCATTCGTCTACTCAAAAATACCATTTGTTAAAGTAACCATCACATTTACCACAATTTCTCATATAAAAACAAAATACTATGGCTTTTAAAAACAGACCCTCAGGAATTGGCATAAACAGTTTAGAAAGAAATCCACATTTTTGCTTCCTAATTTTTAAGGATTTAAATGAAGAAAATCAATATACAATTTTTTAAGGAAATCAAAAAGCATCTTCTAACTTGATTTTAAAAAGGTAACACATGCATTTACTTTATGCTAATTTTATTTTTAATGCAAATTGTTGGGGGCACTGACCATTTCCTGCCCTGTGATTGGCCCTTTGCCCTGATTGGTGTGCCTTGGTTCTCTTTAAGTTGATTGGTCAAGTTTGACAGTTAAGCGGGGGGCTTGGCGGGGGAGGGGCTGGAGCGTAACGGTCATAACGGATATAACGGTCACAACGGAGTTAACGGAGGGAACGGAAGATCAGAATAAAGGCGCCTTGAAGACTCTCTCAAGTGTCGGGTGATTTCTTCCGCGGGACGGGAGGACCCCCGATAGCAAATGTTTCAAGATTCTTCAAAGCCTCCACAAAGAATGTTGCAACCTAATTCAAAACTATGCCATTATTAAAACATCTTGAACCACAGAACTGTCTTCCTAGAACCCATTTACCCTACTCTCTGATTAACACAATCTAACCTGTTGTGTGCAACTATCTATGGTTCATATAATCCAATGTAACACTGTTATATGTACGCCCAACATGAACTCAATTTATGTATCTGAATTGTTAAGAACCTAAACATTATTCATGGTTTCTTAAAGGAACATATTTTGTCATTTTAATAGTAGCTAAAAATAAAGCAAATGCCACCACAAAAACTTAATTTCTAAGATATGTTAGAAGTATAAATTACAATGTTAAAAAATAGACACATTTTCATAATGTTAAAAGAGATTTGCAAATATAATTAACTTAAAACTCAAAAAAGCTAATTATCATTACAGTTTAGTTATTTCAAAGAGTACTAAAATATGGTACACCTTTTTGTTGGCAAATTAAGGTTAGGATCAGAAAACATTTACATGGAGATATAAATGACAACGAAGAGTCAACAGGATAATAAAAGAGAACAAAGTTACTGGACGCCAATACAAGACAGTGTGGCATTGGCTAAAAAACAGACATACAGATCAGTGGAACAGAACAGAGAGCCCAGAAAAGAGTCGCACACAAATACGGTTAACTGATCTTTAACAAAGAGCAAAGGCAATACAATGGAGCAAAGACAGTCTTTTTAACAACATGATGGAACAACTTGGACATCCACATGTAAAAAGGTGAATCTTCACATGACCTCAAGCCCTTAACGAAAGTTAACACAAAATGGATCACAGACCTAAATATAAACCATAAAACTATAAAAGTCCTAAAACATAAGAAAACTTTCAGATAACTTGAGTACGGTAATGTCTTTTTAGATACTACACCGAAGTCACAACCCATCTGTGAATAAACCAACTAATGACATCATTTAAATTAAAAGCTTCTGCTCTGCCAAAGGTGCCAGAGGGAAGAGAAAACAAAGACACCGAAGGCAGAAAACACCTATTACAAAAACACACCAGATAAAACATTGTTGTACCAAATTTACACAAAACTCTCAAAATTCAACAATAAGAAAGCAAAGACTAATTTAAAAATGGGACATAATGCGGCCAGCTTGGAGACTCAACCGCAAGCACAGGCATCCCATGAGTACCAATTTGTGTCCTGGCTGCTCCACCTCCCATCCAGCTCCCTGCTAACGGCCTGGAAACGCAGCAGAGGGTGGTCAAAGGCTTGGGATCCTGCATTCACATGGGAGACCAGGAAGAAGCTCCCAGCTCCTGCTCTGGAGCTTCTTGGTGATCAGCTCAGCTCTCACCATTATGCCCACCTGGGTAATGAATCACTGAATGGAAGACTCTGTCTCTTCTCTCTTTAAAAAATCATGTCACCAGAGAATTACAAATTAAAATAAGGACATAACCTAGCAATCTATCAGAATGATCAAAACCTAAAACAATGCCAATACCAAAGGCTGATGAGAATACAGAGTAACAGGAATTCTCATTCATTGCTGTTGGGAATGCAAAATGATACAGCCAATTTGGAAGAAAGATTGGCAGTTTTTTGTATTATCGAACACACTCTCACCACATACCATCCAGCAATTACACTCCATTGTTTCTACACCAAGAAACTGGAGACATACGTCAGCGACAAAATCTGCAGGCAGATGTTTATAACTTGTTTAAACAAGACATTCTTCAGTAGATGGAGAGGTAAGTAAACTGTGATGTGTCCAAGTAATAGAATGTGCTTGAAAGCTTTTTAAAGGAAATGAGACGGCTAGTTAAGAAAAGACGTGGAGAAACCTTAAGTGCACATTACTAAGAGAAGGAAGCCAATCTGCAAAAGCTACATACTATACGATTACAACCAGAGGACATTCTAGAAACAGCAAAAGCTAAGGAGATAATGAAAATATCAGCAGTCATCAGATTTTACAGGAGAATGGACAGAACACAGAAGCTTTTTTAGAGCAGTGGAAATCCTCTGCATGATCCCATACAGATGAATCTATATTACTGTCCACTCATCCAAACACGCAGAATGGACAAACAGCAAGAATGAGACCTGATGTGACCTATGAATTAAAATCAAAATTTTACGTATATTGAATTTGGCAGAATAACAGAGTAAAAATTCACAAATAGGCTCGCTTTCATCTTAGAACCAGAACAGGTCCAGAAAACTCCTCCACCAAGCAGCGTTGTCAGGCAGCGAGAACGGCCGAGAATGAAAAGCCCAGAGTGCAAAGGGTCACAGCTCAGTGCTAGCCTTACTGAAAACTGGCCTAACCAGTAGGCGGAGACTTAGCTTTTGTTGCAAAAGTACACAGGTGAGGCTTTCAGTTACTTTACATACCAAGCAGGTTGCAGTTCCTTCTGGGGACTCAAATACTCAGGTATCTTCAGACAATTTAACAGGACTGAGTAACAGTGACATGGTACTGTAAGTTCCTGTTGTAATGTACAACTCCATGGGGGCGTTTATTAACACAGGAGGCTATGAAGATGTGTAGGAGTCGCTGTCTTAAGGGAAACATTTATGCCTTCCTCTCAATTTTGCTGTGAACCTAGAACTGGTCTAAATCAATTCTTTCTACAAAAATAATTGTCTACTTCTTGTCTACATCTCTGCTTCCCTTGCCCAAATCCCTGGACTGTGCATCTTGAGAAAAAATAACAAAAACTAGTCCTGCCTTAAAGCAAAGCAAAAAACAGTACACTCTCCTGTAAATAATCTAGGGAGTAATTATTCAGCCACAAACACAGATATGAAGTCTTTTACATTCATATGAGCCAAATGTCAATGAATGTGAGCCATCTCTCAATAATGTCTCGTACTAGGACATGCGGTCAACGATACACGGAACAATAAACCCACCACAGAAATGTCTTTTATACAGATGAAAAAAGAGTTTGACTCTGTATAAATTTTCAATTCCTAGGCCTATCCCTCGATTACTTCACAAAACGTGCTTCCAAAGGACATGGTGTGTCTTTGTAAGGGAACTGGATATAAATACAGCAGAAACAGAATATAAAAGACAACTTGGGTTTAAAACAGAATCGCTAAAAAGCTAGGAAAAACAACCACTTAGGAGCCTCTTGGCAGATCCAGGTGCTTTAAAAGCTAGATCTCTATACCTTTGTCATCCTCGTTTTGTCAGGTTTTCTGTTTTTGAGAAAAACCTGCCCAAGGCCATAAGAAGATTATGCTAAAGAGAGGTTAAAACTCTAAAGTTCTGGGTTTATAGGCCCAAGTTCAGCTCCTGCCATTCAATTCCATAAAGAATCCATTTATTCTATTTCTCTGATTTGAATTCTGAAGTTCACTTGAAGACTTGACACTGTTAAATTTAGATGAAAATTAATTCAACTAAAACTACAGCCTATTGTGTTTAGCTTTGGATCCTTATTTGCATTTGTTAGCAAAACCTAACATTCTAACGCTGATGTAAACAATTTCACCGTCCATTCACAGCCTGCTTTAATATTTTCATTCTGCTACTAGGTGTTCTCTGTAAATATACTCAAGTCACTTTAAAGGTGTAGAAAGCTTAAATATGTCCCTAAAAAAAAAAAAAACAAAAGATATATTCACATACTAGTTCTCCTTAATATAATATTCAGGATCAATGTACTTTGTAATGAGACATTAATAAATGTTCTCTCATAATAATGAACACACAGGCGACTTTCTCAATCAATCAATGCATATCTACTAGACTGCCAATGTCAAAGACAGCCTGATTGAAATGCAGAAGAAATTGCCTTAGGGACAAGGAATGCCTAAATGCTTTCAATCTATTATTTTTAAATGCTTTTAATGAATCTATACTTTCATAACAGATGGAGCAGAACTTCTGATACTGCTTAAAATGTGATGGTATCTTAGGATGATCTCGAAATTTATTTAGTATAAGAACACAACGAGTTCATGTTCCAACAAATTCTACAGTATTTTAAAGCATACATGAAATAGAGGCAGGTACAACTGTCAATCTCAAATTGACAATTCCAATGGCTGTAACCAAGTACCTTGCCAGCAACCAACAGTGTGCTCTGAGGGATGTGAAAGCAACAGCCCTACCGATGTTTTGACAGTTTTCAGTTTGACAGTTTTATTGTAGATGTGGTATATTTTGAGATGCAGATTCAGATTATTGAAATCAACAAACATACATGTTACCTATTTCTGTCCCCTTCAAGATTCTTCAACAAGTATGCTTGGTCATTGAAGGAACCTGAAGTCTTATTGGAAAAGCATACAAGCAACATCAAAAACAACGGGACCATGTGGAGACAAAGTCTCTGCATCCAGACCAAAGACGGACCCCAGTGAAACAGTTGAAGATATCCTGACAGTAGGATGCTGGACTCTCTGACATTGTCCCTGCCTACAGTATTGGGAAATACTTCAATAGCAGCAGGATGGACTTAGGACTTCTCATGAAGGATCACCCATTGTAATACTAGAGGGGAAATCATGGGTGGGAGAGGGAGGTTAGGAAAGGGGATGGGTAATCCCAGAGCTTACAGAACTGTGTCATAAAATAATAAAAAACAAAAAAAGAATTAAAATAAAAACTACTAGACCATAGGTTGCTGCCTAGCAGCCCAGTATCCACACCAGAGTACTTAGTTTGACTTCCAGCTACTCTGCTTCTGAAACTGCTTCCTGTGATTAACACACACCGCTGCAGACAGCGGGTGATGACTCATCCACTATCCTTTTAGTGGCTGCACGATCTGACCGTGTTTCAACCTTAAGGATACCAATTTATCTTCTCTCTCTCTCTCTCTCTCTCTCTCTCTGTTTTTGGTCAGTCTGAATAGAGGGCTGTCAGTTGTCCTCTGACCCCCAAGATTCCTGCTTTTATCATCTTCTATTTAGAAAACTTACTTTAGCTATTCTTTTAGAGTAGGCTTAGCAGTGGCATCTGAGAATGTCTTGGTTTTCACTTCATTCCTGAAGGACAATTTTTCAAGACACAGAATTCTGGATTAAAATTAGTTTCAGAATTTAAAATACGTGCATCACATTCTTCTGAACTCCTTGGTTTCCAATGGAAAAAAATCCACTTTCATTTGAACTGGTTTCGCCTATACACTAAGTGTTGTTCCTCTTAACACTGCCTTCAGTATTCTGTATGTTTAGTTTTCAGAAATTTGACTGTGTTGAATCTTGGGATGAGTCTGTTTGGCTAACTGATCTCAGGTTCATTCAGTTCTTGAGTTTCTAGGTTTATCTCCAGCTATTACTTCTTTGGAAACTTTTTATCACCACACTGACACAATTCTTTACTTTTTCTGATTTAATTTCACGGGATCCTCAGCCACTGTTACTCATTTTTTCTCTCCAGTTTCTTTTCCCTCAATGCAAACCAGACAGTTTCTGTTGTACTATCTTCAAGGTCACCGACTCTTTCCTCTGTCCCATTCATTCCGCTATTGAGTCCACTGAGCTTTGTTTATTTGCTTCTGTTACATTTCTGTTTTAAAGTTTTCATTTGGCTTTTCTGTGTATATAATTATTATATCTAGGAAAGCACTCAAATACCTGAAGACCAAAAATGAATTTATCAAGTTAAATGTTCCACTGTTTTCTAGATACTCTTTCTCTCCTAGGATTCTGAAGGCCTTCAGTAGCCTGATCATTCTCACATCTAAATGAACACCAATTTACAGGTGTTCCAAGAACTCTGAGGCTTAAATTCCTTGTTGTTTCACCATGTTAATGAAAGAATGTGTAATTCCAATTAAAGAACAGAAATCCACTTACTTCATTTTAAATACCAGACAGATGTACAGTTACGAAATTACTGTCCCCATGGATGGACACACTTCGAAGTCTTGTATCTCACAGAATTGTGTATAATGAAAATGGTACTAGGTAGCAGTCTCAAGTTGCACCAGTAGGTGTCGCTCTAAATATGATAAATTTAAAATTACTTAAATTTTAAATCATTTATTCAACAAATATTTACTGAGTGCCCACTACATGCCAGGCATGACACTAGGAGCTGAGCTTACACTAATGAACACAAAAAACAGAGTCTGTGTCCCACGTAGCTTACAGTCTAGATACCAGTGAGCAAATCTGCTCTATCCACTTTTTAATTCAAAGGCTACAAAATCACATTCCTAACAGTTCAACTCAGATCTCTATTTTCCTAAACTAATAGATTCCATACGAAACAGCTCATCAAGAATAAAAAAGCAAGAAAGAATCCAAGACAATGCTTTCTGTGAGAAGATTAACATATTTTGTGTATTTTTTCACCCTCTGATTTTATACATTTCTCTTCCAAGCCTGAAATTTCTAAAACCAAAATTTCAGATATTCTTCCTTATACTAGAGGGAAACTTGCTTTTAAAAAGCAATTCAAATTTTTAAAAATCTATTGACATGCATTTTTAAAAGTACAAATTGTACTACAAATTTTAAGAGTTTTTGTAAATGCCAGCACTATGGCTCAACTGGCTAATCCTCTACCTACAAAGTGCCAGCATCCCATATGGGTGCTGGCTCATGTTCCAGCCACTCCACCTCCCATCCTGCTCCCTGCTTGTACTCTGTGAAAGCAGCAGAGGCTGGCCCAGGTTCTTGGGACCCTCACCTGTGTGAAAGACCATCTATAAAGATCCTGGCTCCTGGTTTCAGATAGGTTCAGCTCCAGCCACTATGGCCATCCGGGGAATAAACCAGCAGATAGATCTCTGTGCCTCTCCTCTCTGTAAATCTGCCTTTCTAATAAAAATAAATAAAACTTTCAAAAATAGATATTTTATGAGGCTTAATCATTCCCAAAATAGGTATCCTCTTATCTCTAAATAATTAAATGAAACCCACTGAACATAACAAAGTGAAAACTTGCTTACACAAACCTGTTAAAACCCCAAGCTGTCACCAAGGATTTCAAGGTAACTTACTCATGCTACAGTACACCAGTCACACTTCATCAAAGGAAATAAACGCAAGATCCAGGGTAGAAACTGCACATCCTGAAGACACACTCTTCTACACGGAAATCTAAGAACCTAGGAACTTCTCAATTACTGTTTTGCTTCTATCTGCCCACCAACAGAATGATTCCCAAACTAGAAGGGAAAACACAGTTAAGAGGCTATCTTAGAATGTTGAGAGCAGACAGAGGAGGGAAGACAGGGATGGAAAGGGACATAGAATAGCTATTATACCATAAACAAACACTAAGGTGCTTCAAAACAAGATGGCTAATGATGGGAAATACATCAATTAATTTATACCTTAAGATCAAATAAACCTTTTATTCTATGTTGACTGCTTCCGTGGCAGTTGATGCAGTACTTGAGTTAGGGGCAGGCATCTGGTCTAGCAGCCGAGCAGTTGGGCTATCCATACCCATGGGGGAGCATAGGTGCGACACCCGCTCTGCTCCTGATTCGCTCACATACCTGGACTGAGTTCCCAGCCCTCACGCTGCGCCCTCAGCCTTTGACCACTACAGAGATTTGGGGGAAAAGGGAACAGAATCAACCTGCCAATCAGTATCTCACCCACCTCACCTCTAATTTCCCTTGCCCTTCCCACAAATAAAAACACGGTTTATTGTCTAAGATTTTAAAATTACATTTGTAAACTATTAACAAGCCCGGTACTGTTGTTTCTTATTCCTGACAAGTCATCAAATTTGCATGCAAGAAGTGGCAGAGATTTGTTAGCTCAGCATTTGTATCACAAACAAATTCTGGGGGGATTGGGGCCTCTTCATTAAAAAAAAAAACCCAGCTGTTGAAATCACGAAGTCCAAGGTCTGAATGCCTAAGTTAGCTGTGTGCCTTCTGGGCAAGTTACTTAACCTGTTCTAACATCACTCTCCCACAAAGACAAAAGACAGAATTATGAGAAGGAAAAGTCAATCTGACACATAGTAGGTACTCAATAAAGGACAGTTTCCAAGAAAGGACACATTCTCTTTACCATAAATTACACCAATGAATGCTGAACAACTACTAACTCACAGCTTCGACCTGACCTGTGTAACAGGTGTATCTTCACCCTGCTGCAACACTTCTACAAAACCAAACCCTTTACTTGACTGAATGCCAACAAGTATGTACCCACTTCTTTAGCTCAAATATATTTTGCATGACCTTACAGGAATTGCTTAGATGAAAGCTTTTGCTGCTCTACTTTTGTTATTTTAAAGTGCAGATGCATCTGAGTCATTTTCTCCTTTTGTTTCATATCCTTAAGATCCAAAGCTTCAAAGACAGAATGTCAGCATGCAGTCGATTTATGACTAAACTCTTGAAGAGACACTGAAGAATTACCTTGTCAATCACCCCAAGGACTCTGAAGGCCTTCAGCTCCTCGGCAGGGCTCCTTAGGCTCCAAGGGGGCCTTGAACTTAGTGATCCTGGAGGCTAATGGAAGATATCAAAGATTATACATCAATCAGGGTGGTACTTGAAGGAAGACTGCCTGCTGAAGCAAATGCCAGGCCAAAGGAAACTAAATTTATCATAAATCAGAGAATGGAAAGATAAAAGGAGAAAGTTTCTGTTTGGAATGAAAAAAAAAAATCAAAAAGAAAAAGTAAGGAAAAAGTTGCAAGTAAATAACTTGTAACACTGAAAACAAAATTTTAAAAAGAAAAATTAATGAACTGGCAAAGTATCTATTGCAATAATTTAATTCAGGACTATATACCTGTAACAAAACTTTTGCAACAAACATGTTCCTTGAAACAACAACAATCACAGCCTTATATTTACGAGAGTAGTTTAGAAGGGAGTTCTAAAAACTAGCGTATTCATCAATAAACTTGGGGCAAGAGCAGGGGGAGAGTAACAGGTCATTCTTTCTCATCATGAAACTATGATCCTTTAACATTACTTTATAAATGTTGTTATGTGTTTTAAGAGGAATCCACAGATCAAAGTTCAAGCAGCAAAATTATCAGTTAAGGCAAAATACTAAAACCTCCATCATATAATCAAGAATTTTTGAGGCTAAGAGATGATATACATGAATTTTTTTTCAAATACGTGAACATCTGTAATATAGAAAACAAATTGTTAGCCCAAAAGATAAAAAAAAAAAAAAAAATCAGTGAATCTAGAAAGAGCTATTTCAGGACAATAAAAAATTAGAAACTAATTCTAACTTGTATCTATTGGCTTTAGTTTTTCCCTGCCAGTAAAATAAGCATTTAGATTAGAAAAACTCAAAGGATACATCCATCTGACATCTAGAATCAGAAAGCACTGCTCTATTAATCCTTACATTAACACAGCCATGCTGCACGGAATGCGAGGAGACCTAAAGACTCCTGGCATCAGCAGAGTACACCTTATCATGATCAAAAATCCATAAGTACAAAAGGAAACACCCTGATCCATCAAACGTCATGATAAGAGAATTACCAATACCCTGTGCAGCTCAATATCACCAAGACAAAAAGGTTCTTAAGAACAAACATTGTGCCTTATTCATCTTTCTATCACAGCGCTAGCATGCTACTCAAGAAACCTCCATTCCTTGAAATGAATGAGGGAGAGAAGAAACGAGGTGGGAAGAGGAAAGTTAGCTGAAAAAAGTTACATGTCATTTGCAACTCAGAAAACTACCACCTGCAAAATTTTCTAAAAGCAGTAATTCCGGTTTGTTTTCAATGTTTTTGATGTTGCTTTGGTGGTGGTGGTGGCAGTGGTATTTTTTAGCTTAGCACATCGATCCTAACTACAATATTCTGAAACAGCTGTGCTTAAAAAAAAAAAAAATGACTTTTTATACAATTTGAGAAAGTTGTTGAGAGCAGAAAGTAGACCAGATAATAACCTTCAAAACCAACTTAATGTATGCCTCTTGGACAGGCTTCATAAACTACTGCTGAACATCTCACTTCATGAGTTATATCTTCACCTTCTTGAGAGCTTAAAATCTAAGGGAAGCTTCTAAGGCTATAAGATCATTCAGTGAGGTACTTTCATGTTACACATGTAAGCAGATATACACAAAAATAATCTCCATTTTAATCCATGTTGTATTGGTCCTTCACCCTCCTCTATATGGTTGCTAAAAGAAGTTATTACTAAAAGCCCTACTTCACAGATAAATAAAGGGTGACTCAGAATGGTAAAAATGTCTGCAGGTAGAGAGAAAAAGAGTGGAAGATCCTAGAGCTCACCTCCTTACGTTAGTTACCACCTGCAGGCTAGGACACAACACTGTGCAACAATTAAAACTAAGTCACTCTTTTCCTTGGGTTATTTCTCATACCAGATTTTGTCATCTAGATCCTGGAGGATGATGTTATCATATACAATAACTAAAAAGAAGTAGGACTTCAGAAACACGCATACTCGTCAGCTGCAAGACATTCACAACCCATCCAAGGAGATAAGACAAACAACACGAAAAAGGCTAACAACTAAATAGAACTCTCCCAAAAAGTCAGGACAACAGGAATAACCCATCAGTGTATGACAAATTACGGTCTCAGAAACAAGTGGGACTAAGAGTAGTTGCTGGGCCTGGCACGATAGCGCAGTGGTTAAGGTCCTCGCCTTGCACGCCCAGGATCCCATATGCGCACCAGTTCTAATCCTGGCAGCCCCGCTTCCCATCCAGCTCCCTGCTTGTGGCCTGGGAAAGCAGTCGAGGATGGCCCAGGGCTTTGGGACCCTGCACCCGCATGGGAGACCCAGAAGAGGCTCCTGGCTTCGGATCGGCTCAGCTCCAGCTGTTGTGGCTGCCTGGGGAGTGAATCATCGGAAGATCTTCCTCTCTGTCTCTCCTCTCTGTATATCCGCCTTTCCAATAAAAATAAAATAAATCTTTAAAAAAAAAAGAGTAGTTGCTAAATGTTATGTGGAAATAAGGTTAGGAGGAGGATAATATTCTATGTAGGATTGGAGAGGTCCAATGAGTTAGCAACAATCAAATTGGAAAAGAGAGGAAAATAAAACCACTCACTCACAGCTGGGTTTTACAGACCTTAAAAACCCAGAAGACAAATCTAGACTATATTCTCCAGAGTCTAGACGACAGGATTTGGTACGAAGAATAGCCCAATGAAAATGCTTAGTTAAAGCTACTCTTACAAAAACAAAAATGGGGAAAATATAATAGGAAAAAAAACCAAAGACTAAGTGATCGATAAAGTTCTGTCTCTACTTCAACCACCAATGAAGTTTAGGTTCAGAGAACTGGACATAGAAAGATCATGAAATACACCATCAGTAAAAAAAAAAAAAAAAAAAAAAAAAAAATTTTCATTTCTTATATGAAACATTTAAATTGGGTAGAATTCTACAGATCTGTTTCTTTTTTAAATGGT